TATATATATATATATGCTCATGATTACGCACACGTGAGACAACGCGCGAAGCCGTCCTCCTTTTGGCCGCACTTGTCACCGCCGCCCCCATCCTCGTTGATCGCAGATCGATGCGAGTGACGGTGGTGGCTCGAGGAATCATTTTGTCGGACGCTTCAGAGCCAGGGCCCCAGTTGGGCCTCGAGGATGGTCGCCGCGTCGGTCCTTCCCATGACCCTCAAGTGATTCAAGAGATCGGTCACGGCCGTCGGCTCGCGGTGCCTCGCCTCCCACAGGTCCAGGATGTGCTCGGTCGGGCTGGCCTTCGTTGCGAAGTAATTGATGTATCTGCGGGCACACGCAACCAAACATTTTTCTCTCCTCTTTCCTGCATTTACATTACACGCGCATATACATGCACCATCGGGAAGATTGTTGCATGAACGAGTGGATAATAAGGAGGCCGCGCGTAAGTGGCGCGCTTTGCTGCTCCCCCCCTCGAAGGAGAGAGAGAGAGAGAGGGAGATGTGCTCGGGATGATAAAGAGCGGCGTGGGTGGATGAGAGCTATGGCGCGGAATATGCCTTTTTAATAGTCCATCTTCCCGGAACTCGGGCGCCTCGGGCTGCACACGTCTTCTTCTCCTTCGAGCCGCGGTGCACGAGTACATCGGGGATCAAAAGAGCGAGAAGCGCGCGCCTGACGCGCCACGCTTATCCGTTCGCTGTTTGGGATTTTTTCGCGGGCTCTTACGAAAAATTGCCTCCGCGAGCGTGTACCACTATCTACGAGGTGACCCCATTATCCATTGTGCCCCTATCATGGAAAAATTTGAGCTGTTTTTATCCTTTCGCGATTGGAGCACGCGTTTTTTTGCAGATCGAACCAACTCAATCTAGAGCTAAACGAGCCCGTGTGGCAAAACAGTTTCATCGTTGCGCAACGAGAAAATATGTATTAACGAACTCGGGAGGGTTTTCCGCGCGGCTGTGCGGCAAACGGGATTCCTTGGCTCGCCGAGAGATAAGATAAATAATAAAACGAAAGCTGCGCGTGCGTACGTATATAAATTGCGTTTTTGCCCGATGGGCTTCTGAGGGGGAAAAAATCCTAATTGACTCCTTTTTGCGCAATCGAATTTAGCTTTGTGCGTTAAAAGAGACCGCGAAGTGTATAATACTTGCGCGTATATATATCTAATCCAAACGGAGCGCGCGGGGCCGATTAACATACGCGCGCTTTGGCTGGTTTGTCGCGGGCGAGTCGATCGGGCGAAGCTATAAATTACGCGCCATATGAGCTATTAGCGCGAGTGGAGATAAGCCCCGCGTTTTTAATGCCCCTAAATGGCTTTTTTTTGCCCCTTTTTCTTCGATTAAAATCCCGATTTTTAACCGAGCGAGTGTATCTCAATCGTAAAAGTAAGGGTTTTTTTTTTCTTTCGTTTACTTTTCTTTCAATTTAAACTTAAACCCGAATCCAAAACTTTTAGAAATCGCAGTCACACCCGCGTGCTCTGAATTTGTCGACCGCCGGATCGATAAAATCCAACACAGGGTATACACCGTACACATATCTACATTTTGTACTCGCGCGAGACAAAAAACCCAGCGGCGCTCGGATTTCCAGGCGATTAGATTTAATGCACCCGAGCCCCGATACAAATCCATCGGGATCCCATCGAAATTCCCGCCTCTACCCTCGCAATATCCGCAGCTACAAATGGAAAAAGGGGCAAACCTGGCTTTGATAGTTTTGGCACCGCAACTTTGGCCGCAAAGAGCGAAAGAGATGGAAAAAAAAAAAAAAAAAGTAAAACTCACCGATCAACGCGCAGCATCTGCGCGAGCATCCTCCAGTCGTTGCCGAGCGAGTTTGGCGGGTCGAGGCACTGGCACAGCTGCCTCCTTAACGAGCGCGTGAACCGGAACGGCCGCAACGGCCGCGAGTCCGTCCCCGAGTTACCTCCGCCACCCCCGTGCAACGCGTTCGTGGTCGTAACGCTGCTCACGACCGTGACCTCCCTCAACGGCCTGGTCACGCTGCCCGAGGATATGAGCTGCTTCGCCCCGTCGTAGATGATCCGAAACACCTGCCTCGGGGCGTCCCCGTTGCCCTGGCACACCTGCAGCTTGTACGTGCGCGTCGTCGTTGCGCTGTCCAGCTCGAAGCTGACGCGCCTGAGGCCCTCCCTGCCCGCCCAGAGCTCGGAGAAGCCCAGCTCCTGGCGCACCGTGGGCGACTTGTTCTGCCACTCGTTGCCCACCTCCTCGAGGCTGAAGCACAGTGCCTCGCCGTTGTCCTCGAGGGCGAGGCTGCGGGGCTTGTCGAGCAGGCAGCCGCGTAGCTGGGCCTCCCGCTCCGCCAGGGCCTTGCTCGCCGCCTTGGTGTCCTCGACCGCGTAGACGCGCAGGCAGCAGCAGCTGCAAGCCACGACGCCGTTGTTGTTGACGTTGCCGAGGCTCTGGCTCGCGTATACGGCGAGCCGTAGGCGCTTCGAGGCCATCGAGTTGTCGCCGCTCTTGCCGCACAGCGCGTAAGCCTTGAGCTGCTCGGTCACGAGGAACACCTCCGCGTGGTCGACCTGGGTGAACAGGGGCGTGTTTATGGTCTCGTTGCCGAGGGTCAGGAGTTTCGTCCAGGTAGGCGGGGGCTGGTGGGGTGGGCTGCACCTGGCCTGGTTGGCGGCGTCCTTGGTGGGCTCGTCGAGCTCGATGCCGTCGCAGCACCAGACGCTCAGCTCCCAGCTTGCCTGGGGCTGGAGCATCGCGCAGTGCTCGAACTGCAGGATCACCGGCTTGGCGAAGCTCGTCTTTGGCGGCCCGCAGCTTACCACTGCCGACAGCTGGGTTGTTCCTTCTGTTTTTTTTTTTTTTTTTTTTTTTTTTTCCAGCATCACCGAGAACAGAAGGAGCAAAAGCACACGTGTCTTCTTGTATTTGGTATATACGTCATATGTGGTGGACTTGGATTGGTTCGGGGGGGGTGGGGGGGGGGGCGTTTAGTTCGAGGACACTGCAGTGCAGGGACTCGCGCTGCGTGCGAGTGTGCTTGAAATCTTCTCGCTTCGAAAAATTCGTAAGTAGAGTTGCATGGATGGTTGGCCGTGTATGGTGGGCGCACCGTTGAGTGCGCTCGATGCGTATATTGTGCGGAAAAAAGTGTCGGGAGAACCCCTTTTTTCGCTCCGACCACCCCAGTGCCATTGCACCCCTTCGATTTCACTCGTGTTTTTAAAAGTTTCTCCGTACCCTGCGTGCGAGCTTTCAAAAGGTACTGGGATGCGTGTCTACTGAGATTTTAATGCGTTTCGTACGTGTGGGGGACAATTTTTTTTTTTTTTTTTTTACTAGGGGTATACATGTGATACTCTACCGATTTTCCCTCCAATATTTCATTGATTTTTTTATTGTGTCTACCAACTAAAAATTCTACGAATTTTTTTACATCAGTATGAAAATGTGGTGTAGATTAATAATGAAACAGTATGAGAATCATTTAACTCGATCTTTTGTGGGGCAAGAAAGAAAAACGTACCAAAATGGCCTCTTTTATTTATTTTATACTCATCACCCAATAATTTACAAATTAAATACAAGAAACCCTTGTTCTTAACCAAGGCTCTTACGTATTTTCAAACGGAATCATGGAGCGGTACACCAGTTGAAAAAAAAAAAAAAAAATCATACAGCTACCAAGAAAATGAACTCGTAAAATATGACGCGCCTACAGATTATGAGGGACGAAAAAATATGGTACACCCAAATGGTTAGATATCGCATGTAGGTAGGCAAACAGCGGGCTTGTGTACACCATGGGGGAGGGAGGGAGGGTGGTGCAGTTGTTACCAAGTGGAAAAACGGTGATATTGAAACAGTAAACACAGAAAGAAGCGAGGTGATAAAAAGCCAACAGTTGTACGCGCACTCGGCCACCAGAGATAGTAAATACCTCACTTGGCGCCTTATAAAGACTCTCTCTGTCTTTTGGTATAGCTTAGCTGCTCCGCGGAAAGAGAGAGACAGGGAGAAGAAAAAGTGAAAAAAAAAAAAAAAGAAGAAGAGATCAAGCGAAAGAGGGGCAGAAGTAACATTAGAATAAGGTGCCGAGTGATTAAGCAGTCTTAAAAGTCGCTCGTTCGCTCGCTCCTCCTCTTGCTTTGCTCTCCCGGAAATAAATCATCTTGCCCAATATTTTAATGACTTTTTCTTTTTCTTCTCCCTCACCAGGAATATGTATGTATACACTTGCGTGTAAATTTACATGCTCATCTCTCCACCTCTTCGTGCAATGCACACAGTCCTCGGTAAAAGGGGCCGTTGAATATTAATTTCTCGATACGAATTCTTAATACGAGCAATCGGACCCGAGTGATCTCTCTATTCTTTTTTTTCTTTTTTTTCTTTTTTTTTTTCCAAGTGAGATATGTTTGCTTTTCAACGCTCGCCCAGGGGGTGACTCGTTCGCCATTAGTTCCCGCCGCGCGTGGAATATCTAATCAATTTTTCGTTTCGTACGTACACACGTATAATTTGCAACGGATCCAACGAATCCATCCCTCCGTCCTCGCGAGAGAGTCTTTACTTTTTTTCCTCCTCTCCCACTGAGACGATTCCTGGGAGGTCCACGTTATTACACGCTCGTAAACCACGATTAGAGAAATTGTGCCATCAGTCGCCTCCGATGGCCCTTCTCCCCCGTTTCTACCGAAAGGACTCTATTTTTGTGGTAGGTATATTTCTCTCCAACTCTGCTCCCCCATTTCCACGAGCATTTTAATAACCGTGTCGCCGTGAAACCGCTCCGAAGAAACTTGATCGTATTTCTAACGTATACAACAACAATAAAAAAAAAAAAAAAAAACCGACCACGTAATCATCAAATTCTCCAATCGGCTTACACCCACTTGCTCCCGCAAACAAGAGACCGGAGAGCACGAGCAGGCCGTAAAATTAATCGACAAAAGGACAACTTTATTTAATCCACCGATCAGGGCGCACACGCCCCGTTACCTGGAAGCTCCATCGCGTTTCATCGAAGCCATCAAAAAAACTCTCGCGTGCACGTACATGATACAAGGTCAGACGATCCCGGCTTATTAAATTTTAGGCGAGCGTGGCCGTAAAAAATGAAAAAAAAAGCGCATCCCCCTCGCACGCTTGTGGTATACATAGGGAGAAGACACCGTCATCGGGAATTGATACGCGCGCGTGCGTGAAACTCGACACTCGAGAAATCCCATCGATCTCCAAGTGCATGGAGCTTACGTATAATGCGAAGGGGTGTGGTTGGCGCATCAGTGTTATACGTGTGTATAATAATACAAACCTGGCAGCTGGGGCCGGAATCGGTCCTCGGTGAGCACGGCCAGATGGAGTTCGGCGCGGCCGGGCTTGGGCACTGCTCCCTCGGGCACGGACATGGATATGCCGGCATCGGGGAGGACGAGGAGGGCGCCCTTGCTGTTGACGTGGGCCCTGGCGACGTTGCCGGCCTCGAGGGCGGGCAGCCGGACGTTGCCCGTGGCCACGTTGTAGGTCGACTCGGTCGACGGGTAGGAACTCGAGAGGCTGTTCTCGCTGCCCGAGAGCATCTGCTTGTCGCTACTGCAGGACTCCTGGGTCGAGGTGCTCGGGGTCGGGGACATGGTCGATGGTACCACCGACGACGACTGGGGCCCCGAGTGCAGGGACAGGTGGGGCACGTCGTAGTGGTGCTCGGACAGCGACCGGGACATCGAGAGCTTCGGGTCGAAGGGGTACTCGTAGCACGCGGGCACTATCGTCGCGGTCACGTCCGGCTGGAGGCTGAGCTTCTTTTCCTGGTCCGGGTAGAACTCGGGCTGGAACTCTGTGGGCAGCGGGGAGCGAGGAGGTGAAGAAAAGACAAGTCGTGGGTTTATTATTTTCCTGCGTCCGGCTCTCTTGGATTATACGAGACGGCGTGGTAACGCGAGAACCCGCGGGATGGATTTTGTTTCGCGGCGTTGAAAAAACGAAGGCAATCTCCTGCTGCTGCTCTCGAGATGTTTCCTCGTTAGGTAATGCAAGAAACGGGATAATCCGATATTGAATTGTACGTCTCCCGATACCGATGATGGAACGATTATTGGTTTTGCTTTCGACTCTTCGATGCCCCATAGGCCATTTGGATTTGATGAAAAAGTTCTTGTATGGATAAAACAAAACACAAAAGTCTTTCTCACGAAAAAAGGAAAAGATCAACAAAATGTAAGGGAATAAATCTCGCAGCCCCTCGAAGAGAGAAAAAGAAACTATTCGCATCGTTTATTAAGCCAAGCAAACAAAAACATCCCAATAAATTACACTTGTACGGTGCAAAGTGAGAAAAACTCTGGCTCGTCAACTGAAATCCTTTGTGAAAACAGAGACCCACGCCCCATACGAAGACAGCCTATTTTCCAGCGTGAATCAGCGGGATGGCTCTATCCCCGTTACGGTATTATGGCCTCCAATTTAGGAAACTTCTTCCCCGTGTATAGTATCGCCCCGATCTCCCGGCAGAGCGTCGCGCGCAATCCAATCAGGGACGATCTTTCGCACTCCCGTCTTCCCCTTCGCTACCGATCGTCTCTCCTTTCTTCCTCGCCCAAGTTTTATTTCCTCGCCTTATCCTCCCGCAAAAGGAGATCGAGTCCGCGTTGCTTATATACACTTATCTCAAAAGGATGATGCGCTCTCTTCAAGTCATTGAAAAAGACTGCAATAGTCTAAAAAGATTTTCAACTTATGCAAAGTTACATCGAGTCTCTAAGAGTCTCTGAAAGTTTACGAAAGATTTTGAAAGGCTGCTGAATATCTTCAATGTTATCTTATACTTTTTACAACTTTGGAGTCTCCTCAAGTCTTTTAAACACTGCTTACGTTGCGAAAAGATTTTTAAGTCATTTGATTTGACATAAAGTCTTTGAGTGTCCTCAAGAGCTTACAAAAGTTGTTTGAAATCATACCAAAAACCTTCAACGTTATCTGACACTTTTTATGACTTCGTAGTCTCCAAGAGTCTAAAATAGACTACAAAGCCAATTAAAGTCACATGAAGTTCTGAATAGTCTCTAAACGTTTACGAAACACCTTGAAAGTCTACTGATAAATTTTAAAGTTATCTAATGATTTCATGAATAAACGGAGTCTCCTGTCTTTCACACACTGCAAAGACCTCGAAATGATTTCGAACTTTTCGTCAAGACTGTCAAGTACGCCTTGAAGTACGCGTCCCTCGACTAATCTTAACTATAGAAAAGTGATAGCGATGTTTCATAAGATCCACAAAGATTACCGGTAAGACAACCAAAAGTTTTGGTCATAGTCACCCCCTGACGGGGAGGAAACTTTTAATGACAGGCGATTCGAGGAAACACCAAAATAACAACTTTCGGATCGCCCGACCCCGCTATGACTTCTATCGAGACTAATAAGCAAACGCCTCCGCCTTATGATCCCCAATTTACCCGACCCCCGCCAACGGATCGTCCCCCTGCGTATGTGTATATATATATATATAACACACACTGCGGGTGGGTGGCACCGTCGCACATGTCACGCCGAAGAAAATCTAATCAAGAGAGCAAGACGAAACCATATACACCGAAGATGAAAGGAAAAAAAAGGGCACTTACCACTCCGGGCCATCGAGTAGAGGGAATGGTCGCGGCCCTTGCGCTGGAATATCCTCGCGAGGAAGAAGCCCATGCCACCGATCAGGAGACACGCGACCGTCAGCCCAACGTAGAGCGCCACGTCCATCTGACGGCTCGCTGTGACACAGGAAAGAGGAGCAAAAAAAAAACTTTTTATTTATTTACTATTTTTTTTTTTCCCCCTTCCTTCAGACGTTTAGCCACAGGCAGGGGGCTAATGAGACTCAATGCTGCAGCATACTGCGAGCGAGAGTGGATGTCGTAAACCGACACGCGCTCGCGGCACCGCATCAGCTGACGAGGTGAAGACGCGTGTCTTTACTACTCGAGGGGGAAAAAAAGGGGGACGTATATATAACTGAATGACGCTTACCCTCCTCGGTTAGGTGCGTCCCTCCGATTTTGGCGCTGTCCACTGAAACATTCATAATTATTCATTCGAACCGCTGAGCGAGTATACGTTCCTTCGCATCATCGTCAAAAAGGACGGGGGGGGGGGGGAAGGACGGATTTATGTTTTATCTTCCGAAGAGGTTTTTTTTTAACCATAAAAGCACGTCACGCGTCGAAAGCTCGCTCGACGCGTCGTATGCTCGAACCTTTGTCCGATACGAGCGAGGCGATAGGCAGTAAATAACTCAATCATATAGGTAACGCGAAAATATAAAAATAGATAACCAACGAAACTCCTGAACGACGATGAGCATTAAAATTCACGGGGTGAAAGAAGCATACAAGCGCGAAAGTTTGGCCCGGGCCCGCGAAGCCGGGAAACTCCTCGGCTGGAGCCCGCGGAGCGGAAATTAAAAAGGCGGAGCTGAGAAGCACCGCAAAAGTTATCGGCGCTGCGAACTTTCCGAGGGCGCGTCGCGATTCATCTCGCGGCGGAAGCTGCGAAAGTTGAGGCGTAGGGTATAAAATAATGTATATACAGTGAGGGGAGGGGGAAAGCAAGGGATAGAGGGGGGGGGGAAAAAAAAGGTTGAGGCTGACCATTGCACATGCCGCCGGTGCAGTTGGCCACGGCCACGTCCTTGCCGGGGCAGGGCCGGCCGGTTTGACTGGGCGCCGGCTCGTCGCAGCTCCTTCGCCTGCTGTGGGTACAGTCGCTGCCGCACACCGACCAGGCCGACCATCTGGACCAGCCGCCGTCGACCACTGTGGGCAGGACACAGAGACATTGGCTTCGTTTCGGGTTACGTCCCTTTACCGCCTTCTCCCTCGTTTTCTCTACTAACGAATTTATCATTCCTTCCGACCGGACGCGCTCGGGCGTGCATTGTTTATTTCGTCGTCGCAGACGAGGGGAAAAAAAATGAAATTACAGGAGAAAAAAAAAAAAAAAAACAAGCTCGTTAGCATGCGGTTAAAGGGGTATGCCTGCGTACACGTGTAGGTGCAATAAAGTGAAATGAACGAGCTCGAGGAGGAAAAAAAGAAAAGAAAGACTTTTTCAGGCAGACACACACACGCGTGGCAGGAAAATCTCTATTATTCATTCTCTGCTTTGTTTTTTGCGGATTTCACTCTAGGGTTGATATACGTATGTATATATTCTCGTGCAGCGATAGGATTAAAAGATGTACGAGGAGAGTTAGAACAAAGAGAGAATAAGCACTACTCACCGATTGGGTTAGCGAACATTTCCATCTCCTCTGTTATTGCGAAAGCGTGCGTGAGATACATACATGTATATATACAGAAAAGCCATTGAGAACTGCTCTCGTTGTTGTTAGTTGCGTGATTATTTACTCTCTTTCTCTCTATCTTGTTTATTGTGTATTATTATACGGTATACGGCGTGTAATTACGTTATTTCGTGATACGTACACGCGTGCGTGTGCGCATTTGCGCGCATCTCACGTGCGGTCGTTCATTTCAAATTGTAGCTGTTACACGTGTAATATAGATCAAAAGTGGGTATGATGTGTCATGCGAATGGCTATTTCTGCGGTGCGTGTGTGGAAAATAAACACCGGTAGTCGCTCTGGTATGTCGCGATTTCCGGTTTTGTGTCGTTAAGTTGCGCTTTATTTGAGATGAGGGAGGTAATATGGTGTTACTCCATCGTGTTAAGACTAAAGTACCATTACAAAAATTACCATTCTGCACAGTAAATCGAATGCAAGCTGATAAAAAAGAAAAAAATTATTTTTTCCAACAGTTAAACTTATTGTTTTAAGAGTTACAATTATGGTTAGAACAGTAAAAATTTCCAATAAAATTTTTGAACCAATCCTTTTAAGGTTTACTGTTTTAACCATAATTCTATTTTAACTGTAATTTTTACTGTTAAAAACAACAATAATCTTAACTAATAAAAATAATAATTTTCTCCTCTTTTGCCAGCTTGCATCCAATTTATAGATAATTTTAATGGTAATGGTAATTTTTGCTGGAATTTCTTTATAATTTTTATTATTTTTTTCTCTCCGTGTACTGTCCAGAAACTTAAGTGGTGAAAATTTCCATTGGACGATCGAATGACTCCAAACTATACTAGCACAGTAATTTTTTTCCCAGCGTGTGCAAATGTACGTCAAACACAACGAAAAGGACAAAAATGTATCTTTTCGATGTGATTACCCTTTTTTATCGTTACAAATAAAAACTCGGCGACGAATGAAACGACAATTTATAGTTCAACGAGACTTTGACGCCACGATGCTATCGCCCGCGGTAAATCTCGGTCCGAAACCGAGCCAAGCGAGTGTAAAGTTTAAGCGCCTCGCTCGTAAAGTTGGCGAAAAAGGGCGTAAATTTTCCCCAAAGATTCACTCGCGACTGCATCCTTACGAAGGAGATCCGTGAAAATAATCATCCCAAAAAAGGCAACCAAGTCCGAAAACACGACGCGAAAGTAAACGAGAGATCTCATCTCGCACCGCGCGCTTTCTTCCATGCAGATAAGGAATCTTCCACAACCGGGAACCCACAAGCGCTAAAATCTCCTTTTCCTCAGCCGGAAAACCCGATTGCTCAACCGGGGAAAGCATGTGGCGATCGAGAGAAAAGAGCACCTACGATACACACAGCAAAAACCACTCACCAGGTTGGCAGTTCGTGTTGCAGTCTTGTTTCTGCTGCGCTGGTCCAAGGCACGGCTGGCCCCCGTTCATGGGCGCCGGGTTGGTGCAGCTGCGCGTCCGCTTCTGTCCGCCTTTGGCGCAGCGCGCGTGGCACTCCGACCACGCCGACCACGAAGACCAGCCGCCGTTAACTGCAACGAGACGCAACAACCAAGACATCAATCACTTGGTCCTTCCTTCCAATATATATATATAATGTCATCCCTTGTGTCGTATCACGCGCCCAGACTCGTCCGCGAGACGTTTTCATCGGGTGTACCAGCGCAAGACAGCCGTGGAAAACGGAGAGTCACCGCAGATTACGCCCGAGCTACTGCTGCCAGTGCCGCTATTATTATCATTACGCCCTTCCCTTTCCTTTTCCCACGTGTATATACATACATATATGGTTGCATACATTACGCGTATACATCAGCCATGGTATATAGCTCTCGTGCTCGCGAGATGAAACTGTTTGCATTAATTTGCATGCCGAGCTGCCCGCCTCTGCTCTGTCTGTCCCCCTTCGTCGTTCTCTCCCGTCTGTCTATCCGTCTGTTTCTACTACACCTACCTGATGTCCTACTCTCTCTCCCTCGGCACGAGAGTGTGCTTTACGAGCTAAATTTCGGATGCCCCGTGATTCCGCGGGATCCTCGTAACACCGCGCTGTTACTCACTCGCCACTTGAACTGTATCAAGATATACTGTACATAGCTATATACGCACACGCCTAATATTTATTATCTTCTAAGGGAGTGTTTACCAGACTTGATTATGCCACCCAAAGCACATTGTACCATAATGCGTGTGTGTAATATGATGAGGTACACGTGGGCACGCGCACATATACGATCGTTCCCCAATACAGACAGATCTTACCGTCCGATAGTTGCAGTGTAATCCGACGTTTTGATCTCTACCTCCTTCTTAAGGGATAGCTGCATCAGCTGTAATATTACGGGCCACTTGTATATTATTTCTCGTATTATTTCGTTATCCGTGTGGAAATCATGTAAACAGAGCCGCCCGGGAGTTGTATCTACGACAAAACTCGACAAAACCGTCCAAAAGGTATCGAGGTGCAACTTATACCGTTACCTTCGCGGTGCCGATGATGCACTCAAAGACGAAGACCTTGGGAGGAGGGAGAAGAGAGAAAAAAAAAAAAAAGGAAAAAAAAAGGCGCCCGGAGAACAATCTTCCTGTCTCAGCGTTGATGAATTTATCGCATTCCGCGAGTATATATATATACTACCAGCTGCGCGTGCACACCCCGAGAAAAACGCCGCGCCTTTAATCAAGTTAAACGGCGGACTGTCGGAGAACTGCCCGCGGAGGCAGGCCGCCTGACTTCATTGAAAAACATTAGAAAAATGATAAAACGGTGCCCTGTATAAATGTATATGTGTGTGTGTGTGTGTGTGTCTGCACTTGTACGCGAGTTGTGATGTGTATTTACAATATAAGATGGAGATACTTCTTTTACTCGGAGTTGCTTTTTAAAATTCAGCCGTGGCGAATGATTAACGACATGAGTTGGAGCTTCAAAATAATAACTTCGAGTTGTGCGCGTTACCGATAAAATACAAGTCTCTGAGATATTTTTTCGTATCGACTTTCTTCGAATGCATGATACCTCATTCACCTTATTATATATAGAGCTATACTCTACACGTCATTGTGTAAGCTTTTGAAAAAAAAAAAAAAAAAAAAAAAAAAAAGGAAAATTGTCAGTCACACGAAAGTATACAGCTGATTTTTCCCGAGTGAATCATCTTGTCTGTCCGTGCATGGTATACACGTACTATTTCCCATTCGTTTACGCGTGTTTGATATTACCCAGGGTGGAATTTTTTTTTTCTCTGAAATCGCGGTTCGATCTGTATACGAGTGCGAGGGCGGCATCGATCATCCCCTCTTGTGACACTTTTCTCTGCGGGCTGTTGGAAAATCGCTCCCCCTCCCATCCTACACCATTTACAATACTCCCTCCTAAGAAAGATAAACATCTTTCGTGTTTGCACAGGTATGTTTGTAGGCGTTTATACAACATGATTGTTTTTTTTTACTCGTTGGCACGTAAAACTTTTCAAAAGAAAGTCGACTTTTCTTGTGCTTGAAAAGAAAAAAAAACGGAAAAGTGTTCCACAATTGGTATATTCATGTTCAAGTTGCACATGGTTGAACCTCATCAAAAACTCCAAACGCTAAACCTTGTAAATATTCATGTATATTTCTTGAATCGATCCGTTTCGAGAGAGGCCAAAAAAAGTAGATCCCAACTTTAGTCTCTCGAGTCGTACGAGCTCTTCAAAGTACTTACCTACGCAGTATATTCAAAGTTGTGCTCAATCTTTTTTTTTCACCACGACGCAAGTTATATATATAAGAAACATGCGGGGGGGCAATCCTCGAGCTCCGCGGAGCAAGAAATCCGACAGACCCGACACTCGTCAGTGCACTCTCGAGTTATATTACGGCGCAAGTCTGACATCGCGCAAACATCAGACCTCCCGTTCCTAGCTTATACCCATCTTTCGATACTCATCTATTTGGAGGACTGTACCTATACGCAACTCGCGTCTTGGACTATTTCTGCCACCGTCCAATATGCGCCTACTCTACACATCTAAAAACACCCGATTGCGAAACCCTCGCTCACACGTATTTGATCTCTGTTAGCGCAATCATAACTCTCGCCTCGTCCTCCAATTAGCACGTATACACCTAAGCTACTAGAAAAAAAAAAAAAAGTCAACTTACCATAGACGGTAATGCTGGCCGGTTCGCTGAGCCTCTTCGCGGCAATGTTCTCCGCGACGCAGGTATAGTTGGCCTGGTGGGCCAGCTTGGCCTGTCCAACGAGCAGGTGTCCCTCGCTGGACACGAGCAACGAGCTGTCCTGGTTCTCGGCATCGAGAGCCACGCCGTTCCTCAGCCAGTAGACTCGGGGCTGGGGCAGCCCTATCGGCGGCAGGCATCTCAGCTCGGTGCTGTGACCCGCCTCCACCGAGACCGAGTAAGGCGGCGACTCGAATTGTTTCTTCAAATCTGCGGACAGAAAGGGGTTTTTTTTTTCTTTTTTATTGGGTTGTGTAGTGCAGTGGGCGATGAAGGAGATCCCTGGTATCGATACCACTGTACGCAACCACGAGGAAGGAAAAAGGTACACCTCGAAGGATAATTTAGGGCTCGAGAGCGTGTAGCGATGACGCACCGAGATAGCCTTTTGCTACACCCTTCGGCGTCGGTAGCCGGGAAAATGTAATCTTCGACACGCGCCCTTTCGCGTCTGGGGTGCACGTTATTTCTGGCCGGTGCAACGAAAGTATTAAAATAACCAACGATGGGACGAAAGATCAATCGACGCCTCGTCCTTTAACGGTAATTCAATTCTCCGAGCACTGCACACTTTCTTCTGGCCATCGAGGGTTATCCGTACTTTTTTTCTTTAATCACGTAATCCACCGCAAAGGACGCCAACTCTCGCAAGAGGCCGCAAATTGTTTCTTCAGATCCGGGGATAAGAGAGACATACGTACACGTAACACCGACAGCGTAGGATACACACGTACAATACAAGGGCATACACAAGTACATACGGGTAAGCCGAGAGATTACCAATATTGATAGAGGAAATCGGATAATTTCTGAGCACTCAATATTCCACCGGCGTATCTCCTGCTCTTCTCCCTCCCCCCCCCCTCTCCGTGGGCGCTCGTACTGCGTGTAGTGACGTACAGCGGGATCTTGTTACCGGGGAAAAATTACCCTCGCGAAGGAGAAGACTAGACGTCGTCGCCGGGAGAGAGGGCGAGACGAGAATAAGAAGGAGAACCATAGACGCGCGCGTACGCACAGATGCGCCCTCGATTTTTCGAGAGCTCTCTCCTTCTGACGAGGTGGAGGCCTATCTCTCCATCGTCCCCCCTCTCCCTTGGTCGGGCTTATTCATATTTTTTTTCTCCCCTATATACGCGCTTGTCGTCGCCCTCCTTTGCGGTGTATGTGTTTGCGCCGTTTCTTTTTTGCGGCGCGTAAAACTTACTATCGGATACGTACTGTTTTTCGAACGGTAAACTCTCTCGTGGTGTACCTATACACGCAGGAGAGGTGCACGTGTAGGAAGAAAAAAAAGAGAGCGGGCGGAGAAAAGTTGGAAAACTTGCCTCGATCGTCGAGTCGGCGAATTTTCCGTCGAGAGGGAAGAAGACCGGAGCCTCCGCTCGCGTATCATTTTTCACGCCGAGAGATACGATCCCGCACTGATAACTTGCACTCCGATAGAGACAAATGTATACACACCCTATACAGGATTACACGCCTTCTAATTGATATATCGATCTCGGGAGAGGAGCTGTAGAGCTCCCCGAAGGCTTATCCTTCCGCCCCTACAGATGTTTGCGCGAGTAATACATGCGCTCACAGTGACTCTCGAACTTTTTTTTTTTTCTCTCTCGTTCAAATACCCAAAACCACGCTTATTCTCAACTGTATTTTCGCGATATTTATCGGTTGGTGCGTGTCATTATTGCTCTTTGATTTTATTGAGTCGCGTCATTTTCTTGGACGCTGTGCGCCCGCGTATAAGGAACACAATAGCGAATAATGCCTCCATTGTTCCATACAGGAGGAGAGCACGCGTTTTGCAAAAAATAGAGCTCATGCTCGCGTCGTACAGGAAATGCTGGGGGTTCCCTTTAATTGACAAATGAATATAAATCAAGGGACACTTTTCGAATACGCTCAATTCCACCTTGCAAACTCTGCCCTGTGCGTTTTTCATAGGTGCGTGTGTGTACGTGCTTATCTGCAATCTTGCGCGCAGCTGGGATAATGAGCGGCGTAATTTACGACCGTAACGACGGAATTGATTCTTAATGCGCGAGGGCGATTGTTCTTTAAACGGAGCGCGTGTGCGTGGTAATAACGGCGTTGCCCGCCAACTGTGGACGGGATTGATCCCTGATTGCTTTCTTCGCGCTTTCGAATACAAATGGTACGCGTCCATATACGTTAAATCGATCACCGCCTCCTGACTGTATACTTTTGGAGTTTCGCCACGATGGAAATTGAGTCAATTGTTTTTACGAGGCGTCTGACTTGAAAGAGTGGTGTCGAGTAACCTTAGAAAAAAAAAAAAAAAGAAAAAAAAATGATGAAATCCCGATTTGTTTACCACAAGGATTTCGGGAAAAGCTTTCCGAGCCAAGTGGCGCTCTTGGGAAGGAAATTCTATATCTGCTTGGCGGGGTCTCGAATTTTAAGGGTCCGAAAGCAAGTAGCGTCACTCGGGACAAAATTCAATGCTCATCGACAGCTCGGTTTAAAGTATGCATATATATATATGCTCTCTGGTTACACGAGCCAAGTGCCACCCTTCGATTTCACGTTCGCATGGACATCGGACGAATCAACAGAGCCGTCTCTGTTTTACTTGGCACAGCTCCGCAAGTGCGAGCACACCAAGGCTCTTGATGCAAGTGTGACTGGCTGTTTTTTTTTTTTTTTTTTTTTTTTTATTACATCGCGCGAGCGCTCTGCAGCCGTTTGATTGTTGAACAAACACTCGCAGAGGCTCTACATATACCTTAGAGACATTTCAAGGGATTGTTTGTTATTTTGGGGGAGAAAAAAATATACTCGTGGAGCTTTTTAAACCTACAGCCGTGAGTCGTGGTGCTCGGAAACGCACTGTAGATCGAAATGGTAATTATCGGGATACTCACATGCAACCTCGATGACAGCCGGCTGGCTGTTTATCTGTCCGGAGCTCGACCAAGCTACGCACTCGCACTTGAACTTCTCCTTGATGAAGTACTCCTCGATCTGGTTGCGCGTGATGTTGAGCTCGCTCTCGACGATCCTGGTGCCGGTGTGCGGGTCGACAAAGTCCTGCTGGAAGATGTCCTTGATCCGCTGGTTGTTGCACCGGAAGAACACCTGGAGGGCGTAGGCGGCCTTGCAGTGGAGGGTCGTCGGCTTGTTCTTGATAACGTAGGAGCTGAGGGGCTCGGTGAGGAAGACGGGCAAGTTGCCGCCACCCGCGGATATGAACTCCGTGTCCGTGGCTATCGTCCCCGAGGGCACCTCATCCTCCTCTGGGTACGCGTCCTCGTCCTCCGAGCCGACATCCTCGATCGCTGGAATAAGGGAAAAGATACATTTATTTTTTCCCCTTGGAGGGACTCTTTTTTTTCTTTTCTTTTGGATGCGGGGCATGAAGGAGGCGCGGTTTGTGGCTTGGATAGGGGATCCCTTTTTTTCCGAGGGGGTATAGAGTTTCTTGAGGCTGGTCCGCCTTGGGGGACGAATGGGTGTGTTTGTATGCGGTAAATTGGGAGTGTAATTAGTTAATTTCCCGAATGGAGCAGTTGTGTACTCTTCTCTGCACTTGACGTGGATTTTTTAGTACAGTCTTTGGGGTGCAGGCTAATGAAAATTTAATTCAAAAGTACCGAGGCTTTTTTTTTACGATTCAAGGCTGAGAAACAACAAATTGATATTCGAGTCACCGGATATGCATCTCAAACGAGATCCTTTGTCGATTTCACCGTTGATCCTCTTTAATTTTTTGCGCTACGTCTCAATATTTTAGCTCGTCTCAATGCAAATGCGGCGGCAACTTTAATCCCTCCTTTCTCTCGTTACAAAATATCTTTTTTTTTTCAGCTCCTTTTAATGAAAACGAGATGTTTTTTCGCCACCACCACGAAAAGCTCGTGCAAGCACGTATGGTAATTGTTAATTATAAAAATACCTCGTCCCGAGTTCTCCAGATAGTATCCCCAAATTCACACCTTAGCCGAGAACGGAATCGCAACTTTTGTCCCTCCCTGCCGAGCGATTCAAACTTATTGAAAAACACATCAGATCAACGGTACACTCGAGAAATGCCCGCGTAGCATGTAGTTCTGCAAGTCTAATGAGTCGCGGATTTTATTTTTCCCTCAGCGCGGCGCAGCACCGGCGCTATGCACAAAAATCAGCGATAAGGACAATAATCGCTCTGCCCAAGTTCCCGCGGCGCAACCTCGCACGAGCAATTTTCCGAGAAAACAGCACCACTACAAACTTGAAAGGAGAAAAAAAAGACGCGGCGACAAAACGCAACCACGTTGTATCCCGCCCACGCGAACATGCAATCGTACACGTGTATGTAGGTATATACAGAGTGGAACCTAATAGACACGCGGAGCTAGGCGGTGTTTATTGTCGCATTATCCTGTGGTTCCTGCAAGAGTACCCACAGGGCCATTGCGCGGATCTTTCCATTCGTACGCGCACAATAATCGCACACCAATGGTACTTTGCGTTGGAAGAGACGAGAGAAGCAGCAGAGTTATTTCCCGAGGGAGCGCGGACGGGGAGAAAGAAACTCTTTCGCGAACTTTCTTTTGATACGCGCGCACTTATGAGGGTACACACGCGCGCCCGGGAGTTCCTCTCTTTCCGCGTCGGTGTGCCGGGAAACGAGCTCTGGAAAGTAACCTGTTCGTGCCTTTTTTCGCTACCCCGCGCGTGGATCCACCTGAATTTCCCGCTCGACTGGAGCGCCGCTTTTTTCACGATTCAAAGTAATCACAAGTTTTTTTTTTTTACCGTAGAAAACTCGATGTATATCACTAGACAGGAAAATTATAAAACACAGCGGGGACAACATTTACACGGAACGAATGTATACAACGGCGCACGCTATGATTAGATTACCCGCGTATGTTTGATTTAATAACAATAAAGTTCCTTCCGCTGAAACGCGCTCGATCGATCGTCGGAATCGTCGGGCCATTGAATCCAATCGAAAGCAATCGCGACTTTTTGCCCTGGAATATACCAATTAGGAGCAATTGAAATAGACGTTTATTTCGCGAAGACGCTCGCGAGCGACGTTTAATGGGCCAAAGTTGTACGGTTGACGGTGAAAGAGAAAAAAAAAAAAAAGAATCATCCATGCAAATAACCCAAGAATGAAACTGTTTGGCTGCACGATTATATATATATATATATATAATCCTGTACAGAAGTGTATATAGTTGTAACTTTCGAAACTATCGAGTGCGCGCCGTAAAGTAGCCTCGGCGACTCTAATCTTGACATTTAGTCCCGATAAAACCCCTCGAGAGAGAACCGGCTGTCCAACCACGGGCGTATCTTACGTAACAAAAGGTAGTTAAAAATTTTATGCGCGCTAGGCGGGTTATTGTTAATAGAAAACTATAAAGTCATCTGGGGGAGGGGACGGAAAGGAAAAAAAAAAATCAACAATAAATTGAGACGCTCAACAGCGTCGCATATATGTAGGGGCGTTCTGCTCGCGACACACGCAAAAAAAAAAAAAAAAAACGAGACGAAAATGAGCTCCACGGTAATACCGTGTTACATTGTTGTTCGGCAGCCGGCTCGTCGCGTGTATAGGTATACGTTTTCCTCCCTCGAGCCAATAATTATCTCCTCTCGTCTGCCTCGGCGAACTGCACGGGAGAGGCGCTCCATAGCGCTCGGATCGATAAATTATTAACTCCGAAGCGGGCGATATCGCGGCGCGTTATATCGATGACTACGGGAGACGAGAGATGATCATATATATGTATACATAACGTTTGGAGGGAGAGAAAAAGAGACACGAGCGCTCTTGCCGGAGATAATTACACAATATGCCATGAATACCGATGCGTTGGCGCAACTAACCCCGTCAACTTCGACCTCTCTCTGCTCTACAGCGGTTTTTTTCATTCCTGTTCCGGCAAACGATCTTTGCCGGCCGATGCTGTTGGTCGGAGCGTGCAACGATGCAAAAAGTACAGATGAGCGCGTGCCGGCGCCGTATATATATATATTATATACAGAGCCGCCGCTGCGCGAGAGACTTTATGCGAGCCGATAACGAAAAGCGATCTCCGACCGCCTCTGGGCTTTTCGCACGTATTATATATTACGGTCTCGAGCACGTGAGGCGTGAATTGCATCGGCGTTGCTTCTTTTATTTTTTTCTGTCAAGCTTCTTTTTTTTCTTTTTTTCGCTTTGCGACCGACTTTGAGGTTTTTTAGTGTCGTGTATTATCGAAATAACTTGTACGTAACACGAGCGTCAAACTATTTTTACAAAGCTCTTGTTGATTGTAATAACCATCATGTTTTTAGTACATTGAGATAACTTCATTTGCAGATTTTTACAACTTTTTGATAGATTTATTTCAAACAGTAATATTTTATTTTGTTTTTTGTTGCAGATGCGCCTGAGTACCTATCCATACACTTTTGTGACTCAGGACCAAAATTCAAAGAAGACTGATGGCAATACCGATCAAGGACCAAAATTTGCGTGTAAGTAAAAAAAATTTATTACTACAAATGCTATTTTTATCCCGATAGATTTGAATAGATTGTCACGGAAATTGTCACGTATATAAATTGATATTACCAGCATTCATTAGCGCTCATAACAGCCAAAGTATAAGCAAGTACAGCTTAGTCATTGTGTAATACAATACTTATACACGAGGGTATAGTGCGAACGTCAACTTTTTTTCTTCTTCTTCTTCTCCTTCTCTCGCTCACAAAAGACCCAAACATCTAATCCCAAGTGTATTTTTAATAGCCATGAGTCACTAGTTATGAGTATCAAATGTATACACATGCACACACTTACGCATACACTACCAAGATCGGGATTAAAGTAGACCTAATGTATACACATCGCTCGTAACATTAGATTATCGTAAATTATTCCGCGTAACTTGCGGAGTAAGAGACGTGTTGTGTATCGAAACAGATGTATATGCACGAGCCGAAGATTCAATGTTGCGTTTTAAAATGAGATCAAGTCAATAAGTGCGAGGGAGCTGATGGAAAAGATTTTTTTTCTTCTTTTTTTTTCACGACTTTATGGATATGTTATTATTATGACGCAAATCGAATAGCGCGTCGATCTAGGCCATCAATCTCGGAGGTTCTGTTGCAACTTGGCCGCGATGGCGCATTCATATTCGAAAATTATTACAAAATCATGGCAAAAGGCAACACTGGCGTGCGCTCATGCATTTTTACTCCTGATTTTCCACGTGTCACGGGAAGAAAAAACCCCCCAAGCTTTGTCGATCCATCTCAGAGGAATCGTCAAGCGGATCGCGCCCAAAAAACACACACCCCGGCCGTCCACGTATATATGTACTTATGTACAATATAATATTGTGTACCACTCGAAAATTCGATACGCACCCACTCTATATATACAGCAAGCAACGGGTCTCCCGCTGCGGTTCGAGAAAGGCATCAGTGCATCTGTAAACCCACTTCATCGATTCCCGCGCATATATAATATATAACGCGTATATAATATACGAGCGGCCGTCAATTCGATACGCGGCTATGCTCCCGCATCTGTATAAGCATATATATATGTGCGTTTCTACGAAGACTCGCGTTACCTGTATACCTATATATACAGGTGCTGGCATAATAGGCACACACATTGTGTATACGAGCTGGAAAAAAAAAAAAACGAGAGATACAAGAGGAGGAAGAATGAGAGGGACGTCAAGAGGGAGAGTAGAGGATATGCATGCACCCGGAGCGCATTCATCGTTAATTCATTAGCGATTTTTCGAAGCGAAGCATAGGCAGGTATATATACCTGCGCGGCATTGATGTACAGGTAGCCGGTGTGGGGAGGGCATCGATACTCGATATCCCGCCGAAGGAAAACAAGGAGAGAAGGAGGGCTCTGACAAAGGAGACGCTCTTTCTCTCTTGGGGAGGTAAGGAAAAAAAAAAAAAAAAAAAAAAAAGAGAGAGAGATTGAAAGGTGGTCGGGTGTATGTAGGTATTGAGTGGACTTACCTTCGTCAGAGGCGAACGGCGATGAGTGGACCGGGCTCGCGGGCAGCCCGACTACCAGACAGAGTACGAAAAACAACAACCAGCAGCACGATCTCGGCCTCATTTCAATTGCTTTCTCTCATTCCCTCATATCTTTCTCTCTCTTTCTCTCTCTCTTGGCTCTCTTCAACGGCTTCGTGTGTGCGTGTCACTCTCTTTCTCTCTTGATGCGACGATTCGCTAACAGCAGACTGCAGTGCTCGGGTATACTCGTAATCTTCCCTTGATTGCTCCTCGTATGTGGACTCTCTCTGGGTACATCTGCAACAAGTCAGACAAGTGTGCCTTATTATGTCGTTCATGTAAATATGTGTAGGTTACCAGGTAAGAGCAAAGTGTCGGCTAAATTTCTTGTTTTCTTTGCGAATATGCAATTTTGGTGTCATGTGTATTATGATATATATACATAAAAGCGCGCAAGGGCAGAGGGATGGAGGTCTGTTTTTTATGGTATCAACTAATTTAAGTGAGATTTTTTTTAGCCACTTTTTGAAATTGTTATGTTTTTTGATGGTACCGCGTGAGTAACGAAAACCAAAAATCTAGTGAAATTTGTAACTAATCCCAGCAGAGCTTGACATTAAATTAAAAAACGTGTGAAAATAAGTACAAATGATAATTGTCTTTTTCTTCGAACCACACAAAGTATACGGTTTTCTGTGAAAATTGGTTTACGTAATTTAGTAGTGCGTACCTGTAAGTTCACATAGACGTAACTATCGTATTTTTTAACTATCGTTATTACATTGCAAGTACTTGTACTCGTCTCATCCACTTGCGTAGTGGTAAAAATCTGACAAACAAAGCCTGAGTAATTTATTATTACTTTTACGTGCGACATCATCACCCATCCACAAATTGAGTTTTCAATGTAAACTTTTTATATACGTACAAGCTTTCTTAACTTATTATTTACATCTTTAAACCTTACATCTGCTCATACGTGTACACGTTTATCCACACAAACTATTTACGGAGACATGTAATATTATACCACCTGTCTTGATAACAACAACAACAACAACAACAACAACAAAAAGAGTTGGCTTTTAAATTGATTCATCATTCCTCGTTGTTGCGCCAGAGAGCGCCGCTCTTCGTTACGTGAAAGCTCATACGGGCACAGGTAGACATTGCAATGAGAAGCGCGAGAGCGTTTCTTCTTTCCTCAAATTATGATAAGCAGCCCCGTCCGCCTCTGACCCTACGGCTGAATCGAAAGTGCACCAGGAGAGAAGGGAAAGCAGGTTAAAGCAAACATTTTTCACCATCCTTGTTTTTTTTTTTTCTTTCTCCTCCGTACGCGTCCTTTCTTTTACGTTTCAACGGCCGATCTCGCTTGCGCAACTGATAATTTACGGTGCCGGAGAATGTAAGTTACACGCGAAAATTCGAGAAATTAACTCGAGGCCTCAAATGCCCATTCTTCGCGGTGAATTGCCGTGTACGCGCGTCGTCGTTATAAATTCAAACGACTTTGATTCATTAAACATCGGTTGATGCTTACGAAATCGTCGGGTGTAGATTAACAATGCCGGAATATATTTCAGATAACCGCTTGGGACGACTTATTGATTTTGCTTACGATGTTTCATCCGTCGAGTCAGGCTCACAGGTTTTATTGTTTCTTAAACTTGAAAAAAATGTTTTTTAACGTATTTTACTACACGGATCCGATACATTTGTGGGGTAGTTATGAAAACAACACCTCTATTGGTTGGTACGATTCGCAATTCGATTCTATAGATTATTGATATAATAATGGATCGTGGTTTTTCTTTTTTTTTCTGGTAAACAGAATCTGATGAAGACGGAGCATATCAAAGATTATGAGTGTGAAATAAATCACCATTAGAGTTTGCCATTCCTATCCTATGAAAGATTGATTGTTTCGTGATCAAAGCCAATCGGTATATTAGCTGATTGGTCGTGATTGATGAAGTAGTTTGTTCAGTGGGGGTGATGAGTTAAATAGCGTAACTTGAGAAAAAGAAAAAAGAAAAGCACGTGAAAGGTGGCTATTATCTTTCGTAAGAAAAGCAAACCATTTGGTCTCGGAGAGGGTGTGAAATTACGCAAAAGATTAAAAATTACAGTTCTGACGTTGATGCCCCGCATTTGCGCGATAAAACCACAAATCATGATTATCGGAGACACGTAACGATCCGGCCATTATTTCGCTATTTCACCACGTTTCCCTCGAAACGGCAACAGCCACAGAGGCCGTCATTGCAATGTACATAATCTCGACGTGACAGCCCTCAACTTCTCCAACAAACAAATCAGTCCAGTTTCCAGAGCCCCCCTCTCGAGAGGAAAAACACAAGGAATATACACTTAAAAGTTTCCGAAAACGAGTTTGTCGTAAGTAGGCGCCGCTCGACATTTGTTTTTCAAATAGACTTTTATTTGACTTGCGCCATGACAGCAGGAACCGAGAGTGTGTACACCAACCAGACTCCCTCCCGCGAGCATACGAAAATACGCGCGGCGCTGGGCAAAGGGAAAAAAAAGTAGGCTGCCGCCCGTCGAGGCTTTCGAACAAGCGGAGGCTCTCGGGAAGGGAGAGAAAAAAAAAAAAAAAAAGGCTAACCAAATATTATTCCATCGCTCGCTAAAAAAGAGAGGAGCTGGGACACTAAAGGAATTTCCACGTCGTTAAAAGTTGTTGGTTCTCTAAGTGACTATTAAAGAGGAGTGCGATGACTTTTTTGTGTGTATGAAATTTCTCTCTGCCTCTAACGATTTCGTGTAGCCGGAGAGCTGTCAGCGCCGAGAACGAATGATCGAGCAGTGGTTCAGTCCGATGAGTCGTGGTGATGGTGTTTTTTGCACGTTTCTACGTAACAACGCGCAATGCGAGTACACGCGTGACGGTGAGTTTATGTAAAACGACAGTGGCTTGTCGCGGTTTTATAAACTATGCATTGCACTGTGGTTTTGTAAAAATGTGTACTTGAAATTAAAGCACGAGATTTATGATTAAACGTGCCTTTTCGTTCATTGTAAATTCGATACACTGTGGGATGGTAACCCTGTGTGCTAATGGTAACTTTTTTCTATTTAACCAACTTATCTTACGCTACCAAAGAAAGTTTGATCAAACAACTCACTACCTAATAACTATCCAGTTTAACAAACGATGCAAAAAAAAAAAAGAAAAAAAAAAAATTCCAAACGGTGACTTGGCTGTCGGCGTCGCTGCAAAAAGATCCGATTTCTCAAAGTCCGTAAAGTAAAGGTTCAGCTGATGCAGCTGTCTTGGCAGCTGGCGCACGCAGTTGCGCTTCGTGTATTCATTTTATGACGAAATTAGGAAAACATGCGCCGAGCGCTGGAACACGGTGATGCGTATATAATATATGTAAAGGTATGTGGTGTGCGATAGACTTTGCGCAATCGTAATGTGAAACATTTTGTAGGTACACATAACTCGAGTGCGAGTGATGAATGACTGGTGCGATTGTCGCCCTCGCTTGGCTCAGTCCTTAACACCGAGACTCGTGGAAAACCACCCCTCGCGTATCTTTCGCTGAGAAAAATTTTTCCAACTCGATTAAATTTACACGTCCCCGTTGTACATATATGTATACACCTAGAAGGTATACATATCCGTACGAAATTACACAGTAGCCGAGAGATGACAACAGAGGATTCGCACAATGCTCTCGTTACCGAAGCCCGAGCGGCGCCCATGAACTTTCGAGGCCCGTCAACATCCATAACGAAGGCCTCCCCCGACTGCCGGGGCGCCGCGAACAATTAGAAGCCTCCCTCTCGCCCGACTGCCGCTGTACCTCTCACCGCATTGTTTGATCGAAATTTCCCAACTTTCGAGCGCCACTGAATTTCCGCCCATATACGTGCGCACTCTTGGTATACAATGGAGGGGCTACGGGGGATGGTATAGTGCGTGGAAAAAAACAAAAACAAAAAGAAAACCAACGCAGTGGTGTAGGTGGATTACACATACCACTGTAAAAAGCTCGGCGCTCGGTAACTCGTGGTCCAACTTCAGCCTCCGTTTGGAGTTTGTTTTGTGTTTGTGCGCACATAGTATATTCCCACGTGTATCTATAATGCAGCATCCAGTGAAATAAACCACGAGTCATCGACGAGGAGAGACCACACCACGATTGGAAATAGTAAAAGGGCATCGGTGTGGGAGCCGATTATTCCGCGGCAACAATGGACTTACACGGCGCTCGTGTGAGTCATGTGTATGTGATCGGTCCTTTAAACGTGGACACAGTTGGCAGGTGTGGGAGAGTAGGAGGAGCACGGACGTGTTTGCTCTACGATGGGGCTTAACACCAAAAATCTCACAACACAATCGGAGGAAGTCTGTATATATACGAATACCTGACCTCTGCAATCCGATGTACGAAAGATCACCGTATATTGACACGTAAGCGCATCGCACACCCGATAAAAGATCGACAGTAGCTCGCGCGAGTCTATCCTTTCACTCGCAGCTTTCGTAACAACCGACTCGTCGTCTCGGCGCTGCACGCGATATATAAATATATACGTGCAGCAGCCGAGTGATACAGATAAAATGTATACGTACACACGCCAAGAAGACGATGAAGCCACAAAGACGCCTGTCGTAGAAACCAGCTGCAAGCTAATCCGCGCTCGCGCCAAAAGACACAGCGAATTTGCTCGAGAGTTGGGAATAGGTATATACACATACATCTCCCCTTTGATGTGTCGTGCCATACGCATTTTTGCGCGCCTCTCTCGGTATAATATACATCGCGCGTCCCGGCCGCAATTATCTTTTACGAGCTGCTTGAGATTTTGAGTTATGGAACCCGCTATAAATACGCCCCTCTCCGGGGCTGCTGCTCTCACGGTTTTTCGCGACGCTGCGTGGCTTCCGTTTTTTTTTTTTTTTTTTTTTTTTTTTTTTTTCTCTAAGGGTGTCGTACCGTGTAGCGTGTACGAGAAGTGAGAGTTTAGCGCGTGCGATCTGAGGAGCGTAGGATGATGCGTGTGGCAAGACAATCGGTCTGTATACCTACTTACTTGCACCTTACGCGCACATATTGATACTCGCGGTTGTTCTGCGTATATAAGTGCCTCTCGCGGCTCGTGACGAGAGTGAGATATCGCATCTTTACAGATTTGCAATTTCCGCTCCGTGGGCTTGTTTTTTTTTCAAGTGTGCGTTGTGTGAAGGGATGTGCGTTCGGAGATGGAGGATGGCGATTTGTACGAAGGTGATTGAAAATCGTTGCTTCATGGCCCTTGGGAAAACGAGATCTTAAAGAGCGCATTGTTGTGCACCTTTAGGGGGAGGCAGGGGTGGTGTAGGGACGAGTTTTTTCGAAACGAGATTCATATTGCACGCGAGTGTGTTACGTGTACAGTGTTCTCGGAAAACGTGAGTTCTCATGGCCAGATAGCATCGGCTCGTAGAAATTAGGAGAGTCCGAAACGTTACTGGAGATCCGCTTCCGCCTGATGTACACACATATACATATGTACAGTATTGTATACCCAATGCGATACGACTGCGGGCTCTCCCTCTCGTATTTTTCCCCGAAAAGAGAGCAAGAAATTTTCGGAGCGCCAGCTGTTTCTCAAGACCGTGTGGAGTGACGAGAGGTTTTTTTCCCCTCCTCTCTCACTCTCTCTTGGGAGGAAGAAATTGACAGATGCGCGCTTAATTACACGCGGGCCTCGTGCTTTCAATTTACTTTTGCTTTAAAATTAACGGACTCCCGAGATTTCGAGCTATCGGCCGATCCTGCACGATTAGATACTACGTCCGTGTGTTTATACGTGCAGTTCGGAGATGAGGCCGAGATGTTTCGAGCTCGTGTATATACACGATATACAGCAAGGATTTCGATACATTATTTATGACCACGCGTGGTGGGGATCCGATTTAATTGCTCGTTTGAAAAACACACACGCGCGCCCGCGCGTATTATAATTAAAGTTTGTATTGAATTATGATTTTTCATCGTATCCCATCCGCGTGTATAGCGTAGTCCAACGCACCCACGTTATTTGTCTTTATCCAACCTTATACGTGTATATATATATTATACATTTCTCGCGTTAATGAACAGAATTTTAATTCGACTCCCCGACCCACGCACCCCTTCTTCCCTGAAATTACAACGCTGAAGTGGCACTTGCGAGCACTTGGACAATATATGCGAAGAAAAACGCTACTCCCCGCAGATTAATTTTCGCGATATGCAGCTCTCTCGTGTTACGTTTACGAGTGTTACACATGCGTCGACTTGAAAACAATTACTTTTTACACCCCCCTCGTAATTTCTTCCTCACCCCTGTACAATGTCCGGTCGCGTAGGAAAAAACGATGCGATTTACAACACTGTGAAAAAAGAGCAGAGAAATCGAGCAAAGATCGCGACGATGGGCTAAGTCATTGCGTCGTTAAATCGCTATCCAATGCATATATATAATTCGAGCGCGCCAACGCGCGAAACCCGTGTGGTATGATATACAGCGCCAGGAAATCCATTTCCCCGCGCTCCTTCTTTCGGCGGCGAAAATAATTTACGGCGACCGGCGAAGACCAATAAAATCGACAAGTCCGCCTCTATACCTTCACGCGCAACGATTCCCCGGTGTTTGTATATATATATACGTGTGGTATAGGGTCGCGGTGCAAGCACAAATGCACCACATGTATAATATGGGGTACACGTATAACTGCAGCGGTTCTCTGTATATTCCCTTTCTTTCGGGCGCTCCGCCTTTTTCTCCTATATATTTCATTACATGCACACACACACACACACACACACACACACACACACACACACCCATTTCTCCCGAGCACTGTCACACACGACAGCCGTGCGTTAAACGATTACCAAATCCGATTTTTCACGCTCCGCTCGGTTTTCGAGTGTGCATCGCATGCAGATGGGAGTATCCGTATATGCACTGCGGGCCGCTGTGTGTATAGTTTTCCATCACCGTACGTATAGGTAACGCGTCCACCCAGTCCGAGCGGAAAAAAAGAAAGAGCGAGAGAGGGAAGGAAAAAAATATATGTATATATTAAATAATGGAGCAGACGGGGGATATAATGGAACCCCTGCAGCAGCCAACAGAGACGATAGAAACAGCAGGTAGAATAAGTTCTCACGAGCCTCCCGGTCGTATACGGTGTTGAGTGCGGCATAGTACAGTGTATGTATACAAATGGACGCACATATATACGGATAGTAATAACAATCATAATAATCAAATGGCCCAGCGGTGCAGTCGGGGAGCATCTTGCAGCCAGCGCACGCACTGCAGCGGAGGGGCACAGATGGCACACCGGGGCGTACACAGACCTACATGCTACTCACCATACAACATGTATATCACCGTTGTCGACATTACGATGCATCGTAGGTGAGAAAAAAAAAAAACTTTTGATGTGGTTGCGATTACCGGGAAGGTACGGAACAAGAGGTAATCGAGAGGACGCACAGGGTGGAAAGTTGTCGATACCATCCAAAGGTCCGTACAGGGGTGGGCCGGGACGATGTTTCTTTCTGTCGCTCGCCCGTTACGATCTTGATAAGTATATACCTACGTGTGTGTATTTTTTCGGGTATAAGTATACGTAACTATACCCGCGGCGTCTTTGACATCGAGTGGAGTACAATAACCGGCGCTCGCGACGGGGAGCTCTGACTCCCATTAGTCCCTCGTATAAATTTCCGCGGTGCGTGAGCAATCGCATACACATATACCTATACGTGTGTGACCCATGGGCGAAAAAAAAAAAAAAAAAAAGAGGTTGGAGAACCGCGGCGCAACAGTTACATGCGCGCAGGGGAGGGCTGACCCGTTTTACCCCAGGAGGCAAGAACGAGAGATACACGTGACATATATTTTTTGCCCCGAGAGCTGATGTATGTGTATATGTACGGGGAATCCGTTGCGCCGCTCATTAAAAGACTCACGACTCGCCGACACTTGGGTGTACTCGTTGCGAGGAGCGCAAAAAAGCTTAAAGCCGAACTTCGCAAATTCCGCGTACCCCTCTCTCGCTATGTAATTTATATATGTACATGCGCGACTTTGGCGAGCAAACTTATCGCTGGTGAGTATATATATATATATTCNTCGTCGGAGGCTCGCGTTCCTATCCGGCGCCAATGCCGGGCAGGCTGCCCGAGTACAGAAGAAGAATGAGACAGAGTTGGGAGAGTATAGGAGCCGGGGTGGCATGTTGTGCATGTATATATATATATATATACGTGCGGAGGGAGACGCACGTATATATATATATATATATACGTGTATAACCGAAACGGGGAGAGGTAAAAAATGCCGAGCCAGTAATAGATCTCGGGAGCGAGCTTTGATCCGCCGGATCGCGTGTATATGCGCGGATATTTAGCGCAGCGGAGGAGCAACAGTCGGCACAGCTGGAAATTCCAGAGCGAGAGAGAGAGGAGAGGTTCAAGGTTCGTTTCGTCCACATGTGTAATACGTATATACACAGACGCGTGGAAGGTCCAGCGTGCCGTGTGCAGAGTGTGGTGTACGGAAGAGCGACGGAAGCTAATTGGAGTACTTTTTTCCTACTCCTCTCGCAGGTATGCACGGGGGGGGGGGCTGTTTTCTACCCTTGCCGCATTAAAATTCATGAGCGAGCTTTCTGACGCGCCACGCGAGCTCGCGGCTTTTCCGGGGAACTGGTGAGCCTGTGCAAAAACTTTATAGACCAGGATATGCTCTGTATACACCTACTTTGTGAAATTCAGTTCTGCAAACGGGAGTCACGAGGGGAAAAAAGGAAAATCAACGCTACGGTACACGTTGCAGAAAAATACATACGAACGGGTGTACACCAACTTTTTCAGTGGTGCGTATACATGAGATCGGGAAAAAGGGTACGGGAATGCGCGTAGATAGCCAATAAAAATGACTCGAGGGAACAGCGATGATGAATAACGCCGCCAAAGCGAGGGGGAGGGCTGTGCACCCTTTGATGTCATTCGAAGTCACATAAAGTCTTTAAGAGCCTCTAAAAGTTTACGATGATCTTTAAAAGTCTATTGAAAAATGCCGAAGTCGTCCAAGGCTTTTCACGAGTTTGAGGTGGCTTTCAAAAACTACAAAATCATCAAAATGACTCTAATGTCGTTAATTCGAAGTCACACAATGTCTTTATGAGTCTCTAAAACTTTAAAGGGCTACTGGGAAAATATTAAGTCATGACTGAGACTTTTCATGACTTTGAAGTCTCCTCAAGTCTTTTAAATTCAAAAACTGCGAATCTTTTTATCGAAAAAAGTTAACTGCCCACACTGAATTTATTTTCGCAAGCTCCCCGAACTCTGACCCTCTTGAAGGGGTTCTAGCAGATCGTACACGATTTCTTCCCCAAATTCGACTGTCAACCACTGTTCAGCCGAGAGGTAAGCTTCACCGATAATACGTGCAAAACCATCATCACGTACGCAATCGGCGGGCAAACAAAATTACGAATATCAGACGAAGCTCGCAATAAGGGATCCTCCTCGACCCCACAGTACACAATTGTGATAAGTATACCCACCGCGTTTTTTCCCACACCGGCGGACCGACCGCAACAATCGTCCAGCCGCGTCGTTATATCCCCCCCCCTTCCCGAGCTCGCCTCCAACTCCCTCATTGCCCATTTCCCGGCTCGCGAGTGCACGAAGAAAAAAAAAATCACCTACCCACGGCAGCCGGACGCGCGGGCTTTTTGATTCCGCGCTTGCGCCAGTCATTCGAGCAAATTGCCGGCTCTCTCTCTCTCTGCTCTCCTTTTGCATCCCGTCCGACGAGTCGGTGTATAAGCGTGCACGTAAGTACGTTTGTTCGCGCAAGTACTTACCGAGTGCGTAACGAGCGAATCAACGCCAGCCGAAGAAAGAGCAGTTACAACGCCGGCAGCAACTCACTGCAGGGAAGGAGGAGGAGGAGACGGACAATAAATCCATTATGCGTCCGTGGTGTTACAAGGGCACCATCACAACTCGCGTGCACGATAATCTTGCCGTTTTTTTGCTTGCCCCTTCTTCTCTCTTGTATATTACGCCTGTGTCAGTAAGCGTATCACTGTTATATTATATATACACACGTGCACTTCACCACTGCCCGCTTTAGCACTTTAGATCCGTGTAACGAAGGGGCTGTCTCGATAGCAGCGATGAAGAATGAAAAAAAAAAAAAAACCACACAGGCTGGACCGTCACTTCCGCAGCATCAATCCCGTCCGCGATAATGGCACCGCTCGCAAATCGACCCCCGCACCACCATATATCTTCTTCTTATTCTTCTCCGACTCCCCACGCTCCCTCCTCCTATTAATCTCGATTCTACGAGACAGGGCGAACCTCGCCTCTGCCGCTTTCTCACGATTCTTCGCCGGATCTCGAACTTTGCAGTTGCTTTTCGTCAAAGTGAAATTACACGAGACTTTTTTTTTTTTTTTTTTTTAATCTAACAAGAGTACAATAAACAAACAAAAAAGAATAATAATATTCCCGGCTCCTCGATCCGTGTGCTTTTATCGCAAACGGTGCACGGCGCAGGAGGGAAGAAAATCTCAGCCGACGACAGCCACGCTCCGCATCGTCGACCCGACGCGACTGTTCGTACCAGCGCGGGGCACTTGCAGCCGTTCTCGGAGTCGCGCAGCGCGTGCTCCGACGCCGGCGCTCGTGAACGCTCGGCTCCCCTCGCTCGCAACACACGTACATATACCCATGTGTGCGGGTACCGGCTGCTGACCCTCTCGCTCCGACACACACACCCGTCGTGGTCTCGCCGAGGAGGTATGCTGCACGCGCCCGAGCCAGAGAGACGCAGACTATATACCGAGAAGCCAGCCTCTCGAGGGTCCCGGCATACTACGCACACCCTCCTCTTGTTTCTCTCCGTCCACTTTTTTTTTTTTTTTTTCTTCCTCTCCCTTTTATTCTTTACTCGGTTGAGGGAATAGATAGAGAGAGAGAGGACCATACAATGCAACGCGCATTCGACTTGGAAATATGAGGACCGTCTCCCCTTTTTTTTGCCGATCAGGGGGGAGGATATCGTATGGACGGGGTCGGAAGTTTTTTCGGCGCAGTAGGCCAAAGGGGGCCGAAAGGGGTGGACCTCGGTGTAATCTCATTTCCGCGTTCCGGGTGTCTCTTCTTACTCTCTTTTGATGCTGGCTTGGATTTACCTTGGCGCCAAGTCATCGGGTCTCGATTTTCGAGTTGACCTCCCCCTGCTCAGTTTACGCCCCGTGTAATGATGAATTTTTGGTGAGATCCGGTGCGTCGAAGGTGGACGAGTGTTTACGCAACCATTGTCGGAGTTGTCAAAACACACCCGATGAAAAGTTATGTTTCCCCGGATTCTCGGTACGGATCGGTTTGAGAAACCGTTTGGAAGGAAAAAAGTATCAATTTTTTCTACCCGCGAACGGGCACTTGTATGGCCCATTAATTTCGATTTAATTTAAAACGCGCCTCGCAGCCATTTGAATTTTAAAAATGAATTCGTTTCACGTTCACCCATTTACATATTAATAAACACACATGTATACGCGAAGAATCAAACCCCTCGTACTGCGCTCGATGATTTATGTGACGCGTATATATACCTGAGCGGCGGAGAAAGAGGAGGAAGAAGAGAAGGGAAAAAAAATCAATAGCCTAGACCAATAAATAATCACGTATAATAAGCCGTGCCCGCGTTGTGCAACCAAGTCGGGGGAACGCTGCCAAATTATCAAAGTGTGGTGCATTTTAACGGAACCGAGGGCGCTTATAGGTGTATATACCTAAATCACTCCAAGCCCCGATCCAACGATGCATGCAAGTGCATTGTCATTTCACCGAGTGAAACAAGAAAAGGAAAAAAAAAAAAAAAAATCTTGAAAACCATTAGTTTCTCCGATGGGGCGTTGTACGCTGTGCTTCATTAAGATAAGCGCGGCGCAGCAAATCAAAGGCGCGCGAGTCCGCGAACGGAATCAAAGCTGCATGTACAGGCGCGTTATCTTGTAAATTTCCAGCCGCACAACGGCGCCGACAACTCAATCACCGCGCTAGAGCCTTGGCTTTTGCCGTCCCTCGCGTTATCGGCGAGCACAATCGAGGGTAACCGGCGATCGATAAATCCAAGCAACATTCGGCGGCGGCGATAAAAATCTAGGAAACGCAATCTAGCCACCACCGGACCGCTGTACCTATATATATATTATACACCACGCTCGGTAGCAGCACACATAGCGCTTATATGTATCATTTATCCCCGGACGTGCTGCCGCAAGTGCTTTAGCGACGCCGAAACGAAAATTGGAGCTCGTGGCGGCTCGGTTCGAGGCGCGCGCGTAAGTGGGTTGGCTGCAGATGCAAAATACGCAATAGATGCTGTGCGTGTGGGGCGACTCGTCTCTTCCGCGCTGGCGACGACGTCGTCGGAGGCTCGCGTTCCTATCCGGCGCCAATGCCGGGCAGGCTGCCCGAGTACAGAAGAAGAATGAGACAGAGTTGGGAGAGTATAGGAGCCGGGGTGGCATGTTGTGCATGTATATATATATATATATATACGTGCGGAGGGAGACGCATCCACGCCGGTGGCCTGCTGCTGCCGGTCTCTCGCGATTCGCATTCCTACTTGTGTACTGCATCGATGAGTGCAAAACGTTTCTTTCCTCTCGAGTGAGTAAGCCACGGTGAGTAAGGGGGATGGGGTGCGTGTCCACTTTGAGTTGGATCAGGCAAAAAAATTTTGATCCTCATTATCGTGAAGTTACAAAGATGTTAAATATCCGTGGTGGAACGATTGTTTGTCTGTGCATCGATCGATAAGTAAACAATTGTCCACGTATTGTGGCAATAATCATATGTAAACGTTCGTATGTGGACGATTAATTATTACATATAATTGAAGTAAATCTATAAGCGAATGATCCTTTGTACTTGCGTGTCTAATTAGATGAGCAACCATTTGTCTACAGTCAGAGATCTACAGATGATCAATAATTTGTGGTCACTTGGACATGTCGCTAAACCATTCGATCTGTTCATAGATCCGTAGATTGACAATAATGACACTTGTTATTCCAATCATTTATTCGTAGATGAACAATCTCCCAGCTTCGTGTGAATCTATGGACAAAGAAGATTTAGTATCTAATGGATATTTTTTTCAATATTTGTTTGGTTTTAAATGGATTACTATTTTTTACATATGTACGTGAAGAGTTTCAAACAATTTTTTGTAGTTACTAGGAAATGCAAATGAACAATCATATCGTATGTCCATGTTATAATTTGTGGACCAACAACTATTTTTTTTTGCACAAACACATGGCTTAAATGGTTGGGTGTTTTTATGGTTGACTAATATTTATTTATCCCCAGACAAACGATGATTCGTTTATACATGACGAACAGTTGTTTTCTGGCTTTTGGATCAGTAGGCACTCATAATTTGTTGTATGGCCATGTAAGCAAACCATTTTCGATCAATATATACAGGATGAATCGTATACGAAGAATCATCTTTTGTGTTGTGAGTAGGTGGAAAAACAAGCAGTCAACACATGGATTTAAATGAAAGCGATCATTTATGGTTGTATTAATATGCAAAAGAATACTGTTCTTGTGCTAATAGACCTGTGGACTAACAATTGTACGTCTCCGTTCCATCCAGCAGATAAGAAACTGTTTGTGTACGTACAAATAACTGTTTTTGGTCGTATGATTTGTAATCTTCATGGATGTTCATTGACCAAAAATTCTTAGTCTTCGTACAGGACATTGGTTGAAATATTTTTGCACCAGTATGAAACCAAATAGATGACTCGTTCTTTGAGTGGATCTACAAATGAACAATTCTGTTATAGAATAGATTGTTGATCAGAGGCTGAACAATACTTTGTGTGTATCTGAATAAATAAAGGTCAATAGGTGAAAACTCTCTCTCGGACAACGATCTATGTATCTGTAGTTATGTAGAAATAGCTGTAATAATAATGGATCGACTGTGATGATGGGCACGTATATAATTTGCAACTGATGAAGGTAATGCTTTTTTATGTTTGTAAAAGAAAAATTGTTAATTTAGAAAAGCGAGAAAAACGCTTCATCTAGTTTTTCTTTTCCAAAAAGGCTGTTTCTTTCTTCAAAACCTGAATAGCCTTCTAGCCTTTGATCTCAAAAAGCTCTGCCTCGCTACTATATACAGAATTCAAAACGTCTTTCTTTTTCTTGCTGCAAAACTCGTTGAAGCTCCCCTTTCTCGTAATACTCGAAGAGGCTCCTTTTACTTTTAAGGCTTCATCTTAGCTGATACCTCGAAAACGGCCCACGTTTTGCGCCAATCCGAAGTAAAAAACTAGTATGGTTCTAAATTCATCAACGCCGGTAGCAACCTGGAGAGGCTATTCGCTCACCTGTGGACGCGCACAGGTATAGGCAGAGAGACAGGAGCCCCTTATTCTTCTTTCGCGGGCACAAGCATATACCTTGTGTGCATCATGGCCATGTATATTCTCGCGAAGACGGATTCTCGAGAGCATACGGAAGAAGAAGGAAACAGAGGAGGAGGAGGAGGAAGAAACACGCGGGGGAGTGCCGGGGAAAGCTCCCGGGCTGAATATTTCAAGACGAACGGAGTGGCTGCCGCTACTACTGCCGTCTAGTGAGATACGTGTATGTGCGTAAGCGTGCATATATATATATGTATATATATGTCACACTCACGAAAGAAGAAGAGGAAGATACGGGGGCATAAAAGATGTGTACACACGGAGAAAACGGGAGCATCGGGCGCGGGTGGGTCGAGACTCTTTCCACCATTTATTTTCAACAACTGCGCTCTTCTTCTTCGCGCGGTGCGAAGGTGTTTGTAACAAGCATCCAGGCGCAACAACAGCGCAAAGGGTGCACGTATGGGGCTTTGGAGGGCGACTTTTCGAGCGGCAAGGGTTGTACAACGCATGCACCCGTACGTCTTATATTTTCTTTGTCTTCCAAAGAAGCCCCGGCTATGCTGGCACACGTATACCGTCCCACCGCGCAACGCCAGGAGAGAAAGATAGCTCCACGGACGGAGAGAGAGAGGTAGAGATTTTCCATTGTTCGGATCCTCTGCTGCAACATCTCTTCTATCCGCCCCAGAGTAGCTGCTCTTCCTTCCTCCTTGTCACGCTGAAGCTCCAGGAGGAGAAGAAAAGGGATGAGAGAGAGAGAGAGGCCAGCCGTATATACACAAACACACGTATACCCACGACGGAGGCTAACCACGAGAGAGAAATAGCGGCCAATCTGGCTCTGGTCGCTTGTTCGCAAAGGATCTCCTCCTCCTCTATATACCTATACACCATACTCTACACACGTAAATGCGCTTCTTTTTTTTTTTTTTTTTTTTTTTTCTTCCCGTGGCATGCCAGAGTCTAACGTCCGAGCGGAGCGCCGGCATCCCTACGGCGATATATGCACTCTCTTCTCTCTCTGCGCCTCTCGTTCGCTTCGCTTCTCTCCCTCTGCATCCACGGCACACGGACTCTCTTTTTCAAGACTACTCGCCAGTTTCTT